GTGAGTGTGCAGTTGGGGCGAGAGGGATGAATGGGTTCGTGGATGCTTTCTCTTTCTGTGTCTTCAGGTAAGAAATTGGGGGATAGGAGAGAAGGAAAATGAGCCGAGAGCCCACCTTGCCGTGCTGGTAGGGGAATGGCTGTGTAGTTGATAAGGTTTAGTTAATCATTGTGTATCCCATTGTTCGGTCAAGTTTACTCGCGGGCACGGGTGACCCAAACCCGCATTATGTAGAGCATAGTGTAGCCCCTTTTCCAAACCCATCTTCTGCGGCCATCCGCCTCCCACTCTCTGACCCCCCCTCACCCGCCTCACCCCCCCTCCCGTCTGTCCACGCTGCCTAGGTCTAGTTCGTGAAGCAAGACAATGGCGAACCGCAAGACGTCGATCAGGAAGTCAGAGGTCGAGACTCTGTATACCGAGATGCGACTTACCAACGAAAGAATTAGTGCCATGTTCAATACCTTGATTTGTTACGGGGTCTTGAGATGTATTTTGGATGGTTCAAACATAAATTTAAAAGATATATTTTTTGTGTGATAGCCTTACCCATGTCGGAGAAATTGAATGATCGCAGTGACCCGTGATCCGTGAAAGACTTCCGTGAATTTCTGTCGTCATGCCGGCGGGGGAAACTCGCCGGGAGAGCCCAGCAGCAGCTCCCAGTAGAATGGCCAGTACCTATGGGGCGGGTCCGGATGTCCTTGAGCGACGAAAGACAAAAAGGAGCTCTCGAGACTCCGTGGGTGAAAGAACAACAAAGGAGCAAACGTGCACCCTTGTGTAGGGGGCGAATTTAATGACTACAAAGACACGGGGGGGGGGGGGGGAGTTTTTCCTCTCGGCTCGGTATCTGGATTTCGCCCTTGTTCCCGATTTTGAGATATGTAAATGGGGTTCATTCCGAGCGGAGTGCTGATTCGGATTATAATTTCGTTTATTCGCGCGGCATGTTCTTTTCAGCAGCATCCGGAGTAGCACGGTTCTTAAAATTCCTCTTGCAATTTCCAGTGCACTGTCAAGAACACGTAAAATGAACTCGTCCACCTGAGAGGCGTTTGCGGGAATTTCTCTGCTCGGGGAAATAAGAATACGTGTTGGTCTCTCTGATGCTGCGTTACGTCGAAGGATGCGACTTGTAGACCGTTTCTTTGGGTAGCGTAAACATGTGGCGGAAATGTCGCAGGGAGGCGCTGGACGGAAACTTGGGCAATAAGAAAGACCTGAATTTGAAAGCGATACTGTAGCTGACTTTGCATACTATTATTAGAGGTGACATATATCGGATTATCTTGTCAGCACGGCGCAGTCCATGTCCTTTATTGCACAGCTTGCACCTGCACTGGTCACGCTGAACTGCGTTTTATTAAGTTAGCATTAGTTTTTTGTTGATTTTTTTCAGGGTCGAAGTTGTGTGATAAGAATATGGCTGTCAGAAGTAACGGTTATTTATCGCACTCACCTATTTGTGCTCACGTATGCACTCACTTCGTTCGCATGCACGCACTTCCCCGCAAACACACACACACCCATATATTTTTTTTTTGTGCGTGCACGCGCATATGTATGTATATCATCCAACCACCCCTACCTTCCTCTCTCTTTCTCTTTCTCTTTCTCATCCTATTACTATTTTTCTCTTCCTGTTTCTTTCTTTCTCTTTCTGTTTCTTTCTTGCTCTTTCTGTTTCTTTCTTTCTCTTCCTATTTCTCTCTCTCTCTCTTCCTATTTCTCTCTCTCTCTCTTCCTATTTCTCTCTCTCTCTCTTCCTATTTCTCTCTCTCTCTCTCTCTCTCTCTCTCTCTCTCTCTCTCTCTCTCTCTCTCTCTCTCTCTCTCTCTCTCTCTCTCTCTCTCTCTCTCTCTTCCTATTTCTCTCTCTCTCTCTCTCTCTCTCTCTCTCTCTCTCTCTCTCTCTCTCTCTCTCTCTCTCTCTCTCTCTCTCTCCCTATTTCTCTCTCTCTCTCCCTCCTTCCCTTCCCTTCCCTTCCCTTCCCCTCTCCTCCCTCTCACCTCCCCTCTCTCCTTCTCCCTCCCTCCCTCCCTCTCACCTTCCCCCCCTCCCTCCCTCCCTCTACCTCCCTCCCTCTTCCCTCATCCTTATCCTTCCCCCCCCTTCCCTCCCTCTTCCTTCATCCTTATCCCTCCCTCCCTCTCCCTCCTGCTCTGCCAATGACCTTTCCCCGACCGGCACCACCTGTCTCCCACACTCCCGAGTCAAGCTTCACTGACCATCCCCGACCACCTACACACAAACAACCCGTGTGTGCTGCCTCCTACACACCCTCAAGATTGGACCGTATCTCTCAGTGAAAGTTGAGATTACCCTTTTTTCCTGTCTGGGATTTTCTGTGTGCAAGATTGCGTGTTTGAATTTTTGAGGTGATGTGTAGGTGGTTTGGTGTTGTGAGCGTATTCTTGATTCGGTCTAAAAAAAACAACAATAATAATAAAATAGAAAACACGAAATGGTTATTGTAAATGGTGTAGAATTATGTATTTAACACTTTTGTCTGAACTAAATGCAGGAATAATTATTGTGTGGCGTGTTTTAGCGAGCAGGCCAGGGTTAGCCCAAGGTTGCTCTGCGTTGGTCACCTGAGCCGAGCCAACCCGCGGATGGGTCAGTCAGCTGATTCTTTGTCCGAACCTTTTCATATTCGATTTTTACTTTGTATCATTTTGGAAGTTAGGTAAGCGAATTGTGAGTGTGTGTTCAATGAAAGATTCATACTCAACATTTACATGAAGCTCTAAGATTTTTTTTTATGTGTGTGTGTGCGTGCGTGCGTGCGTGCGTGTTAATTTGTCTCTGGATGTTTAGTTACACATTTTCTAGGATTTTTATCAACATTTTTTTTTAGATAAACGTTAAGGGCAGATGATATAATATATCCTTATATTTCTACCATCGGTTACTACAGTACTCGGGGCAAGAGTATTTAGAATTAGAGAAAAAAAAGATGAAAGCTAAAGACCTGAAGATCAGCAATAGGAACTAGTTTATTGGTTTCATTCAAGTATCATACCCATAATGGTCAAACGTAAGATGTCCACTCGACACACTAAAAACACTCATGCACGTGGAAAACACACACACACACACACACACACACACACACACACACACACACACACACACACACACACACACACACACACACACACACACACACACACACCTTATCTAAGCATACGTACAAGCACACGGACAAGCACACGTGAATGTGTAAAGTCAGACGTATGAAATCGGATCACGCTTTGGAAAAGTTGCTAGATTATCATCTCGAAAAATTTCCAGTTCATTTTAGCGTGTCATTGTTATAGATACCGATAAATGGTATGTGTATATGCAATAGTTGAACGTTTATTTTAGACAAAAGTACATTTGTTTTGTATTTCTAAACTCGTGAAACTGTACTTTACCATCTTTATCCGTTTTCACAGTTGTCTGTATCGCGCTCTGTCTGAAAATGGGTTAACGGATACGGAAACGGTATCACAGGAAACTGACACATTTGAGATAGGACAGTAGTGAGACTGATAGATGATGATGTAAGGATATTAAAGCCAGGAGATTTAAATGTCTCTTGAGGATTAGAAAAGTGCAGGGAAATTTGGGGCAGTGAGTAAAGGGTGAAGTGGAAGGCAGGGTGGATAATTTGGAACGTAAGGCTGCGAGTAAAAAGTGGAGTGGAAGGAGGAGTGGTGAGTAAAGGTGAAGGTGAGTAAAGGCGGTGAACAGTGCCAAGTGGAGGACAGGGTAGGAAGGGGTAAATAGGAAGGCAAGGCGGTAAGCAGAGGGTGGAGTGGAAGGAGCGAGTGAAAGGAGAAGTGGAAGGTGAAGACATGCTTGCGTCACAGATGTGGTAGATGTGTTTCCCTTTTCATGATTATTATCATTATTATCATCATTATTATTATTATTATTATTATTATTATTATTATTGTTTTTGTTTTCCCTATTCTTTGGTGGTTGATTCGTTTTCGGTAGTCAGTGCAGTGCAGACTGGTGATAATGAGCTTTGTGTGACAACGCTGGCATGACAACGGGGACTGATAACACGATAACAAGAGAGGGTGTAACTTTCATGGCTAGGCATCTCAAGTAGATATGTTTATAAAAGGCTATTGTGTTTTCCCTAAACTATAAACGGGAGACGGTTTGTCCAAAGAGGAGTAATTAAGAGGTAGCGTTATACTACGTCCTTAAGCCGCCGCAGGCCACCGTAACACCTATTTTAAGTGAGGCATTGACCATTTCCTAGACCGTGGAGTGGAAATTGTTGGTCCAGAGGAGAGTAATTAAGATGTTATCTCGCTCAACGGCCCTTAGCTTAGGTGTCTCGCTATACCGTGGTATGATTTTTTATTACTTTTTTTTCTAATACACGAGCATGTTATTAGTTGGTTCTGTGGCATTGAAGGCGTGACTTTCCCTGTGGTGGGAGTATTTGCTAAAGCGATTTAGACGGGCGTATCTGACGTTAATGTTTTCAAAAGCTTGGCGTGTCGTGTGTGACAGGTCGTGGGGCGAGGCTGAGTTAAAGGAGGACAGGCTCTTTATAGCAGCTGATTTCTATGGCTCGCTTTGATGCGACAGGCACTTTTATGGCGTCACGGGCGTTAAGATGAGTATAGCGTTAAGTGGCCTTGCATGACGGAGTGATGACTTAATTAGGTCATTCGCGAGGCTGGACTTGATGGAATGTATAGTACGTGACCGGGCCTCGTTGGAAATGACGATGGGGATCAATATCTATGTGTTATTCAGGGCATACCTCATTTTTTTCTCTCCATATTTCTTGTAAGGGGATTGTGTATGAAAGACAGGAATATGTTGTACACATCACAGACGTATTTTTGGGATCTAGCATAGGCCTACTCTCCAATTTCATTTATATTATATATATATATATATATATATATATATATATATATATACATATATATATACATATATATATATATATATATATACATATATATATACATATATAT